GCAGGCAGTTTTGTAGGTTTCAGGAATTTTGCATTAAATCCATCACACAAGGCTCCTGATTTCTTGGAGCTTACATCTGAGAGTCCAGAGAGATGAGAAGCCAATAAACAAGAAAATATCAATAGTAATAAGGAGAGTACTTATTAGTTAGACTGTGACACTTCGGAGAGTGAAAAGGGGACTTGTTAATAATTATACCAAGATAGTTTAACCATAAGCTGGGGCTGTCATGGGTACACCGGGAAGTATGGTGACCTGGTGATGGGCTGAAGAAAATCAAACAGGATGATGATATGATACGGAGTGATGGACTGAAATCTACTTTAGCAAGGATTGTCAAAATAGATCTTTCTGGGGAAATGACAGTTGATCTGAAATCACAATGACAAGACTGAGCTTGTGAAGATCTGGGCCCAGAGCTGCCCAGGCAGGAGGAACAGCATGTGCAAAGTCTGCATGTTGGGAAGGAATTTGGTGTCAGGAAGAAGGTCAGTATGGCTAGAGAATGTAGTGAGCAAAGAGGAAGTGATAACAGAGGAGGAGGGGCAGGGCTAGAGTATGTAGGTCTTGTAGACCATGGGAGACATTCTAAGTGCCTTAGGAAGCCATCAGAATGTATGGAATTGCAGGGCACGGGGTCAAGGTCTTTCTTTTACTGGTAAGAAATCCAAGGATCAGAGAGTGAGTGTAACATTCTCATGGTTGCAGTAAGGAAGTAGAAGTGTTGAACCTTGATCCCCATGTTCACGCTACATGTTATTTCCACCACAGCAAAGAGTCTACAACAAAAGGTGTTATGAACAAAGGCAGTTATGTGGTAGCTCTCTTTTTAATAACCACCATTTCTGGGCTCTTTTGGTCTCTCAGCTAAGAATACTGAGGTTGCAGGAATAGTTTAAACTAGAGTCAGTTTTTACCGTCACTGCATGTCAAGGCTAGGTATCTTGAACACTAACACCTGCTTAGAAGTACATTAACAGGCACAGGAACCCTATGCTTGCCTGACATTAAAAATCTAATCAGTTTGTTACCTTTTCCAAAGGCGTGAGGACTAGTTCAGGTGTACATGTGGTACTGATGAAGTTCGTATATGGTCACTAACTCTTTCGACATAATATTTTGTATTTTTATTTCTAGCCCTGGCACATACAACCCAGAAACAAAGGAACCCCAGAAAATCACCTGGCCAATGAGATTTGGATCTCCAGACTGGGCTCAGATTCCATGTCTACAGAAAAGAACCCTGAAAGCTGAGGTAGTAAGATTGGACTTGTGTAGGGCATTCTACCTAATACTTTCATGTGCATCAGTGATTCTTAACCAGCAGTCTGTGAATAACCTTCAAGAAGTCCTTGTTCTCCTGAAATTACATGCACAATTTTGTGTATATTTGCATATGGGGATCTTTTTGGAGAGTTACACAGTTTCACTCAATGTTTAAAGGTGTGTGTGACTGAACAAGTCAGATTTTCTTAGTTAATCCTCAAATAATCTTCCATGGTAATTCGAAATAATCATCCCCTTATGATTGAGGAGGAAACTGAGGCTCAGGTGGATTGAGTGACTTGTGGACATTGCTCAGCTAGAATCCAGATCCTGTGACTCCTCAGCCATCACACCACTTGAGTATTAGATCGTCAAGGAGCTATAGCTCCTTCTGGCAAGAACCTGGATTGCGGGATAGGCTGCCTGGGTTCAAACACTAGCTCCATATTTGCTTGCTGTGTGATCTTGTGCAAGTCCTCTAACTTTTCTAAGCCCAGTTTGTTTATCTTAAAATGGGTTAATACTAGACTCAATTTGATAAGGTTGTAAAGATTGAGATAATGTAGAAAAGCATTTAGCACAATACCTGTAACATCACAAATGTTCAACCCACGTCAGCTGTCATAATTCCAGAAGTGCCCTGTTTTTCCCTGGTAGAACTTCTGCATTAATTCTACAAGTATTTATTAAATGCCTGATGTATTAATATTATTATGCTAGGGCCTATGGGTAACGGTCAAGAATTAAACATATAATCTTTGTTTTCATGAAATTTAACAGCCATACTTGGAGATTTACTAAGGAGAAAATAATTTCTAGCATGATAC